AAATAACACCCCATTGTAAAAAAGAAACAAAAACCTTTGTCCATAGGCAGGCATGGTGGCTCATGTCTATAATCCCAAAACTTGGGGAAACTAATGTGAGAAGATCACTTAAGGCCAGGAGTTTAAGACCAGACTGGCAACATAGCTGGTCTCTCTTTTGAACATGGATGGCTCCATTATTCTTTGGTCAATTTCTTGTTTTCTGGTACACTGAGATGTCTTCGGCTCATCTTGTACTTTACCTACCCCAGACACTGGATCAACCACTTCTCCAGAGAGCTATAGCAATAAGTATGCTTAGTGCTACTGGGATGTCACTGCTCCCAGACCTTCTCAGTGAACAGAGGTAGGATATATATACACTTACATAATTATACGCAGATATACGTGTATATTTATTGAAAATAATTGAGTTCACTGCAATATCTTAAATTCCAATCCAACACCATAGTATTTATTCTAGCTTTCTTCCTTTCCATATTTGTAAAGCCCGTCTCTGATAATGAGAAAACCCGTTCTCATCCTGGATAAATTTTCTTATTTGGGCTTGGCACCTGTAGCTCAGCAGCTAGGGCGCCAGCCACATAGACTAGAGCTGGCAGGTTCGAATCCAGCCCACGCCAGCCAAATAACAATGACAACTACAACCAAAAATAGCCAGGCATTGTGGCAGGCACCTGTAGTCCCAGCTACTTGGGAGACTGAGTCAAGAGAATAGCGTAAGCCCAAAAGTTTGAGGTTGCTGTGAACTGTGACACTAGGGCACTCTGCTGAGGAAGAGATAAATTTACTTGATAAATTCCTCCTGCAGCCAGGTACAGCAGGTCATGCCTATAATCCTAGCATTCTGGGAGGTTAAAGTGGGAGAATCCCTTGAGCTCAGGAGTTCTGACTAGCCTGAGCCTAAGCAAGACTGGGAGACCCTGTCTCTACTAAAAGTAGAAAAAATTAGCCAGGCATTGTGTTGGGCACCTGTAGTCTCAGCTACTGGGGAAGCTGAGGCAGGAGGATTGCTTGAATGCAAGAGTTTGAGGTTTCAGTGAGCTATGATTATGCCAGGGCACTCTAGCTTGGATACCAGAGTGAGATTGTCTCAAAACAAAACAAAAAAACCATTTCTCCTGTATGTAACCAATCTCCTATCTTTTTGACCACACTCTCCACTAACATATACTCTTCTTTATCTGCTCAAATTCTGAATCCTCATTCCATTTTACCTGACGGTATGAACACCCTTTTCACCCTTTAGTACTTTTTTCTTTTTTTTTGAGAAGCTGTTACCCTGGGTAGAGTGCCGTAGCATCATAGCTTACAGCAACCTCCAACTCCTGGGCTTAAGTGATTCTCTTGCCTCACCTTCCCAAGTATCTCAGACTACAGGTGCATGCCACAACACCTGGCTATTTTTTGTTGCTGTTGTCATTGTTGCCTTAGCTGGCCCAGGCTGGGTTTGTACCCAGCAGCCTTGGTGTATATGGCTAGCGCCATAACCACTGTGCTTTGGGCACCTAGCCAAAAGAAGTTGGAGTAATTCCTTTTTTTTTTTTGAGACAGAGTCTCACTATGTCACCATCAGTAGAGTGCTGTGGTGTCACAACTCACAGCAACCTCAACTATTGGGCTTAAGCAATTCTCTTGCCTCAGCCTCCCTAGTAGCTGGGACCACAAGTGCCCACCACAATGCCCAGCTTTTTTTTTTGTTGTTGTTGTTGCAGTTGTCATTGTTGTTTAGTTGGCCCAGGTCGAGTTTGAACCCACCCACCAGCCTCAGTATATGTGGCCAGTGCCCTACCCACACAACTACAGGTACTGCTTCACCCTTTAGTATTTTTTTTTTAAGAGACAGAGTCTCACTTTAGCGCCCTCATTAGAGTGCTGTGGTGTCACAGCTCACAGCAACCTTCAACTCCTGGGCTTAGGCAATTCTCTTGCCTCAGCCTCCCGAGTAGCTGGGACGACAGGTGCCCACCCCAATGCCCAGCTATTTTTTTTATTGCAGTTTGGCCAGGGCCAGGTTTGAACCTGCCACCCTCAGTATATAGGGGCCGGCACCCTACCCACTGAGCCACAGGCGCCCACCCACCCTTTAGTAATTTTAATGTCATACTATCAATATGTTGAACTAGAACATGCCTTTAGATATGAGACAATTTTTGAACATCAAAATAAGTAATAAGAATTCCTAAGACTAGGAGGCCGAGTTGAAAGGATTGCTTGAGGCTAAGAGTTCTAGACCAGCTCAAGCAAGAGTGATATTCCATCTCTACAAAAAATAGAAAAATTGGCTTGGCGCCTGTGGCTCAAGTGGCTAAGGCACCCGCCATATACACCTAAGGTGGCGGGTTTGAATCCAGCCTGGGCCTGCCAAAACAACAATGACGGCTGCAACCAAAAAATAGCCAGGCGTTGTGGCGGGTGCCTGTGGTCGCTTGAGCCCAGGAGTTGGAGGTTGCTGTGAGCTGGGATGCCACAGCACTCTACCCAGGGGAAAAGCTTGAGGCTCTGTCTCAAAAAAAAAAAATAAAATAGAAAAATTAGCCAGGCATGGTAGTGTACACCTATAGTCCCTGCTACTTCAGAGGTTGAAGCTGAATAATCACTTATGCCCAGGAGTTTGAGGTTGCATTGAGGTATGATAGTGCCACTGCCACTGCTCTGCCTTGGTGACAGAATGACTCTATATAGATAGATAAAGATAGATAAAAATTTGTTGAATATGTATGATAATGCTACTGCATTGTATTCCAGGTGACAGAGTAAGACTCTAAATAATAAATAAAATGTATTGACTATAAATCTATAAATCCATGTAATAAATAGATAAAAGAATAAAATGAAGATTTTATGAGAAATTGGATATTTTTATAGATTCAAAGTACCTTTTCTAGCCAGGCTTAGTGACTTATGCCTTAATCCTAGTACTCTGTGAAGCGGTGGATCGTATGAGCTTAGGAGTTTGAGACCAGCCTGAGCAAAGTGAGGCCCTGTCTCTACTAAAAATAGAAAAACGAGCTAGGTGTTGTGGCAGCACCTGTAGTCCCAGCTACTTGGGAGGCTGAGGCATAAAGATCACTTGAGCTCAAGAATTTGAGGTTGCGGCTCATCATCTGTGGCTCAAGTGGCTAAGGCGCCAGCCACATAGACCTGAGCTGGTGGATACGAATCCAGCCTGGGCCTGCCAAACAACAATGATGGCTGCAGACAAAAATTAGCCAGGCATTCATTGTGGCGGGAGCCTGTAGTCCCAGCTACTTGGGAGGCAGAGGCAAGAGACTGGCTTGAGCCCAGGAGTTGGATGTTGCTGTGTGCTGTAATGCCAAGGCTCTACCTAGGGTGACAGTTTGAGGCTCTGTCTCAAAAAAAAAAAAAAAGTTTGAGGTTACTGTGAGCAACGACGCCATGACACTCAACCCCAGGGCGAGAGTGAGACTCTGTTACCAAAATCAATAAATACATACATACATACATATCCTACATAATTACAAAGGAGAAAAGATAAACTTTATCATCAAGAATCCTGGTAGACACGGGCCTTAATTAGGTGGTCATAGTGATTGTCAGTAATAGGACCACTCAAAATCATGTGCCACCTTATGGGATATAGTGAGCAAAATATAGTGTTATTTCTGTGATATTCCTGCCAAAAGTGTACAGTCCAAATGTAGTAATAGAAAATATCAGACGCCAGCCACACACTAGAGCTGGCGGGTTTGAATCCAGCCTGGGCCTGCCAAACAACAGTGACAACTGCAACCAGAAATAGCTGGGCATTGTGGTAGTCCCAGCTACTTGGGAGCCTGAGGCAAGAGAATAGCATAAGCCCAAGAGTGGGAGGTTGCTGTGAGCTGTGATGCTATGGTACTCTACCTGGGGTAACATAGTGAGACTCTGTCTCAAAAATAAGAAAAAAAGAAAGAAAGAAAATATCAGAGAAACCCAAACTCAAGGGTATTCAGGCGTCCTGCATATCTCAGAATCTGCAGGGGATTATTTCCAGGACCTCTGTAGATGCCAGTATCTTACAGATACATGTTCATATCCATTGTATAAAATGGCAAAGCATTTGCATATAACCTATGTATATCCTCTCAAATAGTTTTAAATCATCTCTAGGTTACTATAATACCTAATATGATATAAATGCTACATAGTTATACTGTATTGTTATCAAACTTGTATTATTCTTTTTTTTTTTACCAAACATTTTTCGATCCTCAGTTGAAATATTTCAGTTGGTTGGTTTCAGTTTGTGTATGCAGAGCCTACAGATATGGAACTATAATTTAAAATTTTCAAGGTCATGATTTTAAGTCTTCATCTTAAGAAACTGGGAAAGGAACAGATTGAACCCACAATATGCAGAAGAAAGGAAATAATAAATTCAAAGCAGGAATCACTTGAATAGAAAACAGAAAAACAGAGAAAATCAGTAAAACCAAAAACCAGTACTTTGAGAAGATCAATAAGATTGTAGCAAGATTGATCAGGAAAACAAATAGAGATGTTGAATGTCAAAAAAAGAGGTGATAATCACTACAGATTTCACAGATATTGTAAGGGTAATGGTGACATATGAACGATTTTATATCCTTCAATTTGACACCTGGGATAAAATGAACAAATTTCTGGAAGGATGCAAATGATGAATGCTCAATTTTGCTACTTACTGGAACATTTAACAAAACTTTTGAATGGAGGTTGAGGTTTACATAGGCGTGTTATCAGTATTGTTATAAATAGCCCAATTTAATGGATGTTATGGTTCTTTAGGAACATGTTCTTGTTTATAAGAAGCATATGCTCAAATATTTAGGAATGATCAGGCATCATGTTAGCAATTTATTCTCAGTTGACTCACTTGAACATGTCATTTGAATTCTACTTGCTTTTGGGGGGTAACTTTAAGATTGTTTTTAAAAGTATTTTAAAAGAATGGGTACTGCTTGAGTACCCTTTTATATAGGCATATATTTTAAAAGGAAATTTCCTTTCTTTGACAGCGGAAAGGAAGCCTCCTTTATTTAATATGAATGCAATGAGTGCCTTATATCACATAGCCCAAAATGAATCCCCTACACTACAGTCTAATGAATGGTGAGTATTACTAAGAGATGTATTGCTTAGCATTGTATAAATGAAATGCTTTTTCATAATCTGTTTTCAAAATGAATTTCAGTTAGGTAAAATGCATGACTTAAAGAGATATTAAAATAGGTTTATTTTCCCTTTTAAAATACTTATCCTTTATCCTGTCTCCATTTCATAGCATCTATATAAAACTCAGTTCAGGAAAGCAAGGTTTCATGTGCATGCAGAAAGTATTTGTTTTTTTTACAGAAATTTATAATTTCTTTAGTATTTAAGACTATATAACAAATAGCATTTTAAGCATTATTTTATAGTAAAAATATAAGATTATCCCAGTGTATAGTGAATTTGATTGGGAAATGGTTTATAATTTGTATGGCATAAAATACAGAAAAAATAATTTGACTTTATTGAAATTACCAGATATTTTAAACCTTTGAGGCTCGGTGCCTGTGGCTCAAGTGGCTAAGGCGCCAGCCACATACACCTAAGGTGGCGGGTTCGAATCCCCAGCCCGGCCCGCCAAACAACAATGATGGCTGCAACCAAAAAATGGCCAGGCGTTGTGGCGGGTGCCTCTAGTCCCAGCTACTTGGGAGGCGGAGGCAGGAGACTCGCTTGAGCCCAGGAAGGAGTTGGAGGTTGCTGTGAGCGTGATGCCATGGCAGTCTACCCAGGGGGATAGCTTGAGGCTCTGTCTCCAAAAAAAAAAAACAAAAAACAAAAAAACTTTGAGATCATTCTAATTATGTCACTTGTTATTCATATTTCTTTCTTTCTTTTTTTTTTTTTAGTTGAGACAGAGTCTTACTTTGTAACCATCGGTAGAGGGCCGTGGTGGCATAGCTCATAGCAACCTCAAACTCCTGGGCACAAGCAGTTCTCTTGCCTCAGCCTCCCTAATAGCTGAGATTACAGGTGTGCAGGTGCCCATCATGGCGCCCAGGGTTTTTTTTGTTTGTTTTTTTTACCAGGCCCTGGGCAAGGATTTGAACCCACTGGCCCTGGAGCGTGTGGCTGGCATCCTAACCAGGGAGCTACAGGCGCCCAGCTGTTATTCATATTTCTCTGATGTTCCTTCTAGTACTTTATTTGATGAAATTAAGTTCATTTATGTAAATATGTTTATGGAGAACAGATTGACAATTTTAGAAAAGTAGGACTTTTATTACTGGTAGAAAATTTCTTGGGTGGACCTAGCATTTGAAAAATTTTAGGGGAGACCAGTCACGGTGTTTCACTCCTGTAATCCTAGCACTCTGGGAGGCCTAAGCAGGTGTATTGCTTGAGCCTAGGAGTTTTGAGACCTGCCTGAGCAAGAATTAGACCTCTATCTCTACTAAAAATAGAAAAACTAGCCAGATGTTATGGTGGGCACTTGCAGTCTAAGCTCTTGGGAAGCTGAGGCAAGAGAATTAATTGCCTGAACTCAGGAGTTTGAGATTTGCTATGAGCTATGATGCCGTGTCACTCTACCCAGAGTGACATAGTGAGATTCTGTCTCAAAAAAAAAAAAAGGAAAAGAAAATTCTAGGGGAATATCCACATATTTAATAAATACTTATACATGCATGTGTAAATTATGTGTTTAATTTTTAAAAGATTATACAATTAAGACACATTCATAAATTTTTGTTACTTATGTAGAAGGAATTTTTTGGCAGAGTTTAGTGTTATGGTATGTTTTAGTTTTTTTTTTTTAGAGACAGAATCTCACTTTCTTGCCCTTGGTAGAGTGCCGTGGCAGCACACAGCTCACAGCAACCTCCAACTCCTGGGCTTAGGTGATTCTCTTGCCTCAGCCTCCCGAGTAGCTGGGACTACAGGCATGCGCCACAACGCCCGGCTATTTTTTTTGTTGCAGTTTGGCTGGGACTGGGTTTGAACCTGCCACCCTCCATATATGGGGCCGGCGCCCTACCCACTGAGCCACAGGCACTGCCCTATGATTTAGTTTTTTGTTTTGGGGGTTTTTTTGCTGCTCTAACAGAATACCTGAGACTGATTAGTTTATAAAGAAAAGAAATTTATTTCTCACAATTCTGAAAACTGGGAAGTCAAAGATCAAGGCACCAACAGGTTAGGGCCTGATCTCTCCGCTTCCAAGTGGTTCTTTGAATTGTATCCTTTGGAGGGGAAGAGCAATGTGTCCTCACGTGGCAGAAGAACAGGAGAGAGTGAACTCACTCCCAGAAGCCCCTTTCTATTCATGAGAGCAGAGCTCTCATAACTTAATTTCCCACTAGGCTCCACCTTCCAGTACTGTTGGGGATTAAATTTCAGCATGAGTTTTGGAGAAGACAAAAACATTTAAACTGTAGCATGTTATGTATAAATATAATAATAAACATATTTAGCACAGACTGTCTTAAACTGTGTTTGAGACTGTGGGGATTTATAAAAGAATTTTTTGCCCATAAGGAACTTAAAATCTTATTTGAATATCAAAAGCAAACATCAATAGAGTATTTACTGCCTCACTGAACTCTTGTCAGTAAAAATATATAACATGTTACAGACTTCTGATACTTAAAATAATCTTAACTTGTTTTTTAGGTTTAATGGAAGTCTTATATATTTTCTCTGGGGCATCACATATTCAGGTACAAAGATGATCTCTCCAAAAAGATAGAGTGATGTTCTGAAACATGCCTAGAAAATGATCCATGGAAGGACAAAATAAGAAAGAGAGGTGGTATAGAAAAAAGGGAGGGAAAAAAATGGAAAAGAATGTTATCTGGGATATAAATGCTAAATATATATAGATAGATAGGTTTTTCCCCTTTTGCCTCAATGTAGAATCTATTGTGATATTTAAATTTTTGGCAGGAGAATTTTTAAATATTCTGTGCTGTGGAAAACAATCATTGATTGCTTTACATAGCCTTTCATACAGTCTTATGAAAATATAGTCTGTGCTTTTTTTTTTTTTTTTTTTGCAGTTTTTGGCTGGGGCTGAGTTTGAACCAGTATATGGGGCCAGTGCCCTACTCCTTTGAGCCACAGGCGCCGCCTGTCTGTGCTTTTTTTAATCATCTGTTTTCCATTCCCCATTCCACCAATATGCAGGTGCCTTGATTTGTAAATATGTTTTTAAAGGAAATAGCAATATGTTCACTTGATACTTTCCTTTACAATAGGTCTGATTATTTTCGCAACTTTGTAGATTCTTGCCTCCAGAAAATCCCTCAAGATCGTCCTACATCAGAGGAACTTTTAAAGGTCAGTTCTTTTAGCCTATAAATCTATTTTTATTGCTAGGAAATAATTTTAAAGAATGTGTTTTATTCTTTGATTCTGAATCAGGATTAAGTGTGCTCTACTAGTTTTTACTAAAATTCATAACTTTTTTTATATTATCATCTCTAGAATTTTTCTTAGATACTAAGTTTTAAAATTTGATTATTAGAAAATGATTAGCTGCTTTTACTGTATCTAAATAGAATATATAGTTTAAGTATTCAAAATATTATTTATATATGTAGGAATATATTTATGAATTATAATTATAAATTTAAATTTATGTGGAACAATTTCTTATTCCAAAGTTGGTAAAATGGATTAATTTTGGATTAAAAAGTTTTTTCTTTTTGTTTTTTTTTTGAGACAGAGTCTCATGTGTTGCCTTCAGTAGAGTACCACGGCATCACAGCTCACAGCAACCTCTCAAACTCTGGGGCTTAAAGATCCTCTTGTCTCAGCCTCCCACGTAGCTGGAACTACATGCCCCCACTACAACACCACTGTTTTGTTTTTTTTGTTATTGCAGTTGTCATTGTTGTTCAGCTGGCCTAGTCAGGGTTCAAACTCACCACCCTCGGTGTAAATGGCTGGTGCTATAATCACTATGCTATGGGCTCTGAGCCATGGATTTAATTTTTTGTGTATCACACTTTATATGTTGGTTTTGTTTTGTTTTCTTTTTTTTCTTTGTTGAGACAGAGCCTCAAGCTTTCCCCCTGGGTAAAGTGTTGTGGCATCACAGCTCACAGCAACCTCCAGCTCCTGAGCTTAAGTGATTCTCTTACCTTGGCCTCCCAAGTAGCTGGGACTACAGGCACCCGCCACAATGCCTGGCTATTTTTTGGTTGTAGTTGTCACTTTGTTTTGCAGGCCCAGGTTAGATTTGAACCCACCAGCTTCTGGTGTATGTGGCTGACACCTTAGCCACTTGAGCTACAGGTGCTGACCCTGTTTTCTTTCTTTGAAATACTGTTTTGTTTGAAACAGAGTCTCACTTTGTCACGCTCAATAGAGTGCTGTGGCATCACAGCTCACAGTAACCTCAAACTCTTGGGCTTAACTGATCCTCTTGCCTCAGCCTCCAGAGTAGCTGGGGCTATAGGCACCTGCCACACGCTTGGCTATTTTTTAGAGGGGGGAGTCTCACTCTTGCTCAGGCTGGTCTCAGACTCTTGAGCTCAGGCAATCCAGAGTGCTAGGATTATAGGCATGGGCCACCACACCTGAGTTTGAAATACTGTATATTTTTATAACTTAGCAATGAAAATATTTTAAGATCATATAAGTGTTATTCAATTTTCAACAGGCTTGGATGCCTGATTTAAATAATAGGATTGGTATTTAGTTTCTGGTCACAAAAAATTATTTTTTCATTTGCAAGTTGACTATCTTAGTAATAATATTGTTGAATTTAATATATTTCTTAAAATATCTAGATTAGGTAATAATAAGTAGGATTTAACTCACTCTGGGACCCTAAAGAAACTTCTCAGTCTTTCATTTATGCTAGTGTTTTAGAATTTTAAGGAAGTTCAATTTATTTTCATTTTAGTTAAAGCTGCAGAGAAATTAAAAGGATCATGTATATATATACAGCACTTCAGTATTATTTGTAGCCACAGTATGTATAAGAATAATGTAAAGTTTCAATAATGCTTAGGAAATTTCAGGCAGTAAGTTTACTCATAATTTCAGAAATGAAAGGCTGGCTTGGCGCCTGTGGCTCAAGCGGCTAAGGCACCAGCCACATACACCCGAGCTGGCAGGTTCGAATCCAGCCCAGGCCCGCCAAACAACAATGACAGCTACAACCAAAAAATAGCTGGGCATTGTGGCGGATGTCTATAGTCTTATCTACTTAGGAGGCAGAGGCAGGAGAATCCCTTGAGCCCAGGAGTTGGAGGTTGTTGTGAGCTGTGATACCATGGCACTCTACCCAGGGTGAGAGCTTGAGGCTGTCTCCAAAAAAAAAAAAGAAATGAAAGGCTGAGGAAATAGGTGCTCACAGTAGCAACAAAAGCTTTAATACAGCTAGGAGTTAAGTTATCAAAAACTAAGCAAGATCGGCTCGGCATCAACTGGCTAAGGCGCCAGCCACGTACACCTAAGGTGGCGGGTTCGAATCCCCAGCCCAGACCTGCCAAACGACAATGACGGCTGCAACCAAAAAATAGCCGGGCATTGTGGCGGGCGCCTGTAGTCCCAGCTACTTGGGAGGCGGAGGCAGGAGACTC